AAGCTAGTAGTAACAAGTGCCACGCTAGTAGTAACAGGTGCCTTACTACTAGCAACAAGAAGATATGTGGAACAAGAAGCTATTATGCTTAACATCTGCCACCGTTCCAAGACCCGAAGAGTCCGGAATCCAAAAGGAACTTGCCGCGTCTCAACAGCCAAGGTGGATGCTTCAAAGCCCTACACCACGGCACTGACGGCAGGAAAAACAAGACCCATGTGCTTTCTTTGAAGCGATGCTCGCAGCAAGAATCCGCTGATAGATAGGTTATTCGCTTGCGAAACAGATGTTTTTTTTTTGTAATGGAACCCAACAAACAACCCCTGAGAGTGGCTGCAGTCAAACGAACACTTGAGAATCCCTCGCCTTGGAGCCAATGCCGAAGCCAGGGATGAAGGCTAACATCATCATGGCCTAAGTCAGAACATCTTGCTGAAGATCAATCAACCCTTTCAGCTCCTCAACCATCACCTCCTCCGGAAAGAATGTTTTGGTGGGGGTACGTAGGAGTTGTGAACAGGCAGCTGCGACTGAGATACAGTGTTCTGATGGTTTAAATCAAAGAGGATGGTTCCGTTTAGAGGACATGTAGTTGGCTCCGCTGACTTTCGGGGTTTACGTATCTTGTGGCGGTGAACCGATGAATTCGGGCCGCAACGAACTTTGGCCACCCGAGGACCAGGACGTCTGCAGGGCCAGCTCTACAGCTCTGGACCGGTGGGAAAAAAGCGTGGTATGCTGGCCGAATGGACATCACGCAATGATCTGAACAAAGATCTTGGGCTCTCCCTGTAAGCGACAAGCACAACACAAGAGGAACATAGACCTGGACCTAGATAGAGCTCAACATACCATTTTGTGCAGCACAAGCTCTAGGCACTGAACCACCAAGTCCTGAACAGTTGTGGTTTTCCAAGATCCGTCGGCTTTTTTCGACGACCGAGAGGTCCTCAAGATTCACCATCTCTTTTCGGGAGTCGCGTGCAGGGCCGGACGTAGTAGTACTTCGCTAGCGATGACGTGCCATACGCACATGCTGGGGAGATCAGTTGGACCAAACGCTCTGTCTTTTTTCAGTGAGCTTTGGCATCCCCTCTAGCAGTTGATACCCCATGATTCATTGCAGGAACAAAGCAACACGAGGAAACTCATCAGCAAACTGTGGGACAAGATCCTGCACCCACCTAAGGTTGGAAAAAGTCTCCACACGTGGAAGGCTCAAATGCGGTGCAACACAGAAAATACCTTAGGGTTGAATCAGTTGTGCCCCCCCTGACCTAGCAGTGACCCCAAAAAGGGCTCGTACATTCCGTTCGTTCACTGGAATGAACAGGGAGCCTCCGGGACCCGCTGACGGGACCATCTGTCAGCTCCCATCCGATCGGCTCCGAGTCGCCCCGTCGGCTGAGACCTTCAGTCGCTTGAGCTCGCTTTCGACCACGACCTCGGCGCTTGGTTTTTAGCCCGGTGGAACGTCCCGTGGAGGAGCAAATCGTCCAAGATGGGGCCGTCTTCAGGGTTTAAGCCAGAACCCTGAAGCTACCTTGGAGTCTGACAAGAACCATTCTACCTCTTTTGAAAGAAACACATATCAAACCGTTTGATGGAAAATCAGGGGAAGCCGGGCAGAAGAGCCCAATGCTTAACAAAGAGCTTGGATGTGTGCATTTAGTTGTGATTAGCATTTGTTTCTTGACAATGACCTGGCTATATGAACCAAAGGAAGAAAGACTGGTCCAAAAAGGAAATAAAGAAAGCTCCAAAAGAAGGAAGCATTCCTGCTTGTAACATTGAATAGCCAAGTCCAAGAGCACCCGGCCGCCTACCGGCCACATCTCTTGTTCGAACATCTGGGTGCCACCGGCCACGCAGGAGAACAATGCCGCGGCAATGAAGACGCCATAGGTATAGACCTCATGGTCCGAACCGTCCTGTTCAACGGCTCCGACTCGAAGGCTTCTCATAGGAGAACTTGAGTCAGGAGCCCCTAGTAAAGCGTCCTTGCTCCTAGTAGCGTAGATTCCTTTGCTAGTAATTTTATTAGATTCTAATTGAATTCTATTTATATATTGTTTCTACTAGCTTCTTGTTACTAGTAGTAAGGCCCTTGCTCCTAGTAGCGATGCCAGGAGCCCCTAGTAGCGAACCCTGTTACTAATGCAAGGAGACGATGCATCAATTAACAAATTCCCAAGCCCATTTCCTCACCAAAAGGTCCCATCCGGTCCCATCCCCGCCTTAAAGCCAAAGGGAAGCGTGAAGAGCACTGGGTTCACAAAGCTGGCCACCAGCATTTGGCTCTGGCCGCGGCCTGCTTTCAATGACACTTTAAGAGATGGTCACAGGGACCTTACAGGAACTATCAGGACTCTGAAGAGCGACGTCTCCCTGGCGAGGCAGTGGTCGTCCAACCACTTGACTACCACTAAAAGTCGCGAGGCAACTCATGCGGCCAACTGTTGCAGCAAATGGGGCAACATGAAGTGACACCATGGTATGATCTCTGTAACTTTGATAAGCTACAACTTCTCAAGCCTCTACGAGTACAAGTATCCTCACAAGTACATCCTTGCAAAGAAGAGTCTTCTGACTAGGCTTGTGGCAGCCCTTCCGATTTTTCAATGAGCACGTCTGTTTGGCTCTGCTGCACGTCAGTGCGGCCGACGTGCAGCTGAACCCACATACTATGTAGGTCTCAATCAACTGCTTCATTCAGAACCTGTCAAGTCACTGCATCAGCGCAGTCGATTCAAGACGTGGTCTTGAAGTTGCACCTAACCACTATGAAAACTGGATGAGGTATGCTGGATATGTCTGGCAAGCATCTGGAAGGGTGTAGCGATTGTCACTCCCGCCACCAACTTGGTCATCCATCCTGCGATGGCCCACAGACTGGTTCCCACAGTGGTTGGAATCTTGGGAGATATATCCCAGTGCGAGTCGCGCGAGAATCATGCGCTTGTCTTGGCAGTAGCCGATGGAGTAGTTTGCATTCGTGGAGAACCAAAGAAGCCCGTTGCCAAACCGTTCATCGAAACCACTCATGCAGATCTTGCCGGTGATTCCCGGTTGCTTCGCACCATGAAAGAAGAGCTCCTCATTGGCGCTATTTCCGTTTTGGGGCTTCGCTGCGATGGCAGCCCGACGGCGTTGGTAGAGAAAGAGCAATGGTTTGTTCTGAATCCTCTTGATGGAGAGAATCTGTTGACTAGCCGTGCGGGCAAAGAAGGCTGCAATCCGTTTGAATTCTTCGCTGCTTGAGTTCAAGGGAATCTCCACATAGAGCGGTCCTGAAGTGTGAAGTGCAAAATAGAGGCTCAATGTCTTCACCATCTATCACAAGTGTATGTGTGTGTGATATTGCAATAACTTCCCTCTGTAACAAGAATTGCTCTCGTATGGTGAATCCCCCACTCGAAAAGGACTGTAGGACCCAACAATGATCCAAATGTTTCCACAAAGACTGATATCCATCCTGCTTCGGGTCACTGGTCTTGCGGCCTTGCTTGCTTTCGAAGACAAACAGAGCTAACAAGATGTATTGTCGAGGCTATGAGCCGTTCTTCACTACTTTTAAAGAAAACAAAAAGAACTCAAAAAAGCACACGTATTGATTGAATTTAAAAAGGGGAGGCTCCCAAAAGACTGGCACAGCAGCCTCTCCAATCCTCCCACCCTTTGGGTAGTCAATGGCCAAATCCTCCACGACCTTCTGGAGACCGTTCCCCAGTCCAACTGCCGTGGCCTTCAACACCTCCACGGACAAGGCTAGACGTGCCTTTTTCTGCACCTCCTCAGCCAGGTTCCTGAGAGCAAAGAAAACGTCTGGCAGTTTGGCTATTAAACTCTTAGAACAAGGCACTGCACCATGGCACCACTGTCGACACGCACGACATCTACTTACATCAATGGTCACTGCACACCTTGGATCCATTGAAAGTATGTTCTGTAGATACCCTCATTCCACAGTCAGAATCTTGTTGCCCGAAACCGACAGAGACTTTACCAATGCGAAATGGCCGATGGCTAGATCCTCTTTATCCCGCTCAATGTGTGATTTCCCCCAAAACGCTCGACCAAAAAGGAGGGATACTCGAGTGGTCCCATTGGTCGAGCCGCTTGGCTGCTTCTGCCAACTGACCGGCAGCCTCATCGAGTTGCTGTTGAAGTTCACATTCCAGGCGGCCTGTGTCTCCTTGACCGAGTTCGACACGCACCATGCCGCGCTGGTAGTTGGTCTGGCAATTCTTCTGGTATTGCTCTGCCACAAAGAAATCGTAGAGACTCCCCGTGTGCGCATGGAAGAGTTTGGCGCCGACATCTGCCCGGAAGCTGCCAAACTGTTGGGGTGCTCGGTTTTGCAGCAGCAAGTGTCGAGCTTCTGCCTCCACCCACACGTGCTGAGCATACAGAATTCCATCCTTGATGCCCAACTTGCGCCGCTCTTCTGGATACTCACTCACTCGATTGCTGTCCTCCATGAAGACCCAAACAGCGTTGCCCCCAACCACCAAGCTCTTCAGCTGCTCAATGTCGATGTTGCCGTTTGCCACCATTGCTTTGGCCAACTTTGCTGCCTCTCGACTGCGAGCAACTGTCTCGCCGGTGGTCCCTTTTTGAGCACGAATCGCTTCTTCGTGATTCCTCAACTTGGCAGCAACCTCATTCTTCGCTTCTTGCTTCCTCTTGTAGGCCAGCTGCGCCTCCTCAACACGAGCTGCAGCAGACTTGGCCATGTCATTCGCCTGTGTCACTTGGCTTTGCCTGGGTGGATGGCCAACCGTGAGACGAGAAGACAACTCACTAAGACTAAAAGTTGACATGTGAACCCCATCATTGAGCCATGAAAAATCTCTGGCACCCGTGTTTACTCTCTGTTGGTCAAGAGCAAGGTACACACGAGCCATTCTTGATTCGTGGTTTTGTGACCACTTGCTCACCACTTGCATCCATGCATCATCCGTCGCAGGTGGTTGATTGCCTCCAAGGTTGACCCAAAAACAAAGGAAGCATGGAAAATTGCCAAACAGGACACCACCCAAGCCGCGGCTTGCCAATGAGGACGTCTGACTGAGAAACTGACAGCCATCCAAAGCTTTACAACTGCAATCAAGCTGATTGAAGGCCATCGCTATTGGGTTGGAGGCCATCGCTAGTAGGTTGGAGGCCATCGCTATTAGGTGGGTTCTGTCTTGGAAAACTTTCCCAAATCGTCGGCCTTGGCGGGCGCTGTTCAAAATCGCCACCCAGCGGTCACCGTCAGCAACGTTAGCCTCTACGAGCTGATGGATCTCACGAGCCTCTTCGGCTTTGTGGACTTGGTGGATTTCTTGGCACAGCTTCTGCATCTCACTGCCTACTTGCTCGATTTTGGCATCAATCTCAGCTGGTGCCAAATCATCTGGAGTGTTACCCATCTCGTCATCCACTTGGTCACCTGGGTCATGGTCCAACTCTCTGTGCCTCTCTGGCATGGGAACATCTGGGAGTAGGAAAACTGCCCTTTCAACTGACGAAGATTCATGAACTCCCCCACGTCTGCAGATCTAAGATTTGCTTTTGGGTTGGATGGAGGCCATCGCTCTTTGCTTGGAGGCCATCGCTCTTAGGATTTGTTTTTTGGCACCTGAAGAAACCTTGCCCCACGTCCTCTGAAGCCGGCCTGCGATCACCATGTTGAGCCGGGACTCAACCCCTTCGATCACCACTTCCTGGGCGACGCAGTCAAACCGCCTTGGCCAGGTTTGTAAGCGTCACAAGCCTATCTTTTCTGCCCACACTGCAGTTTGCGTCGTGCCAGAATCGAACAGTTGCTTTTTGAGGGTTTCTTGAGTCAGAAAGCGGCGGAAACGGTGAACCACTACTCTGCCACAAGAACTGTATCAGTTTTGGCAGTCCACTCTAGTGATTACAATACCGGTGTAGAGCGCTGAAAGCCTGAACCTGTCAACCGCCATATGCACAACGGAAAGGTGAGGCAGCTTTTTTCAAAAACCCCAGCAGCCAGTGGTGGAATGGGTGGCATTATCAATCTGCTCTCAAAGAACGTCCGTGGAAGCGATCCACAGATTGAGGTGAAGGTTGCCCCGGTAGCCAGCTGCGTAGGCTGTCTTGGATTCCTGGATGTATGCTCAGGTCTCTGAGCGTGTGGGAGATGGGTTGGACTGGGAGGAGTTGGAGTCGTGAGTGTGACGGTGGAAAAGTGGTGCATCCCAGCTGCGCTGAGAGTGTGTGCGGTCACGGGAGCGAGACCGGGCGCGTGCGCTGGGGAAGAGGTGGTTGATAGCATTGCGCTGTTGTGGAGGGGGAGACAAAGGATTGCTGGAATTGAGCGGACGTGTGGTGAGGAAGTTGCTTGTCTGGGCCGGGAAACGGACCGTGGGGTCCATTCGGTAATGACCGTGGGAGCCTGGCGATCCTGGCAGGAATTGGAGAAGACGGCGTCCCTGGTTCAAATCGAGCATAATGGGGGCAAGGCGGTGCAATGAGTTGCGAAATTGGACAAAGAGTACCGAGTTGTGGTCGGTGAAATGCTCATTGCTGGGTATGGGATCCAAGATGATTGGATGCTGGATGATGGCTTCGATGAACCATTCAAGCGTGTGGAGCGTCCACTGAAGGAGTAGGAGCTCTGGGTGGGTGGTGGAGGGAGACATAAAAGGAAGCGGGTGCCAGGGTAGTGTGTGGGAGGTTGATTGTGTAGGGATGTGGGCAGGTGTGTGGCTGGCCAGTCTTGTTGGAGAGGCTGGTTGCTGCGTGCTGCATCCATGTGTGACAAGAGTCAGGAAGGGAAACTGCCAAGGAAAACGAGGGAGCTTTGAATGTGTAGAAAAAACGGTTGCGCAATCTAAAGCAATAACATCAGCATCAACGTCAGTATCCAAAATGCTCCAGGCATACGCCAAGTGTTGCTGGACGCCGATTGAAAAAGTAATGCATACAGTTGAGGTCATGTACATCGTGTAGTGCTGGACATATTCAATGCCGTGTTCCGAAGACTGTTATGAACTGCAGCAAAATCTCACAGACTGATTGTCTTGAAGGACCACGGTGCATTGATATTTCATTCAGCACGGTGAGGGGGGCTGCTGTGAAACGAATGAATCAAGGTGAGCAAGTCGAATGACGTTGGAATCAAATCATCTGATTCACAAGAAATGAATATCCGGCTGCGTGGCTCCTTCACTGGCAGCAGCGGTGGGCGCGGCAGCTGGCGGCGGTTCGGCAGCAGCAGGAGGATCTGTAGTGGGGTGGCTTGGATGGTCAAGGTGGCTGTCGGTTGGTGTAGGTGTGACAGGTCGGGGTGTATCC